AGCAGCGAACCGATCAAATTCACCAGCAGCGGCATCGGCAACTCCGGGAGGGCCCACATAGTAACCGACCAGGGGGCCCGCTCCGCTGCCTCCTCAGCTAACGCTCAAGCAGGAAAGCAGCCCTGAGCCTCCAGCAGTGAGGAGAGGGCGCTCTCCACACACTGCTGTTCCCACTCCTGCCAGAGCAAAACCCTACAAGTCTGACGAGCCTCCCTCGCCAACTCCCGCGAGCCTCTATCTAGCAGCCTAAGCTCCACCCCACTGCTCTTACCCACTGTTTCCTCCCGGATCTTGGTCGCAGAGCAACTACCGTCGCAGAAGGCGGAGGAGGCCATTTTTAATATGGGCAGAGGAGTAGAGATAGAATTATCTTTAACTACATCCTCTATTCGAGAATTGAGCCATCACTTGGGGACTGGAAAAGCAATTAAGGCAAAAGCAGGTACTTTCCTATCATATTAAGGATGTATAACCCAAAGTGGAAAAACTCCTTGCCCGGTTCCAAGATGAACGACCCCTTAACCACGTGTCTGACGCCGCTTACTCTTAGTTCCACGTCAGTTTTAGCTCCTTCGGCCTCCGCCGGTCAAGTTTAAAGGGCCAGTAACCTGAGTTTCCTATGGGATGCCTCTGGAGTATGGGGGACAGCTACTGGAAGCAAGGAAAAAAGCAGGAGGGACGAGGATGTAGAGCAGCACTTGCTCCTTGTAGTTGTAGAAAACGTGTTTCCACTGTAGTGGGAAGCCAAGGTAATACAACTAAGTTCCCGGAAACGCAGCTACAGTTTTGAAGATGATGTAATTTCTAAAGCGTGGACACTTAAAAAGCTCCTCCTACTCCGTGCTTTTCTTTCTTTTTAATTTTTTTATTTTTAAAGAGCAGGAAAGGGAGGGAGAAGGAAAGGGAGTGAAACGTCGCTGTGCGACAGAAACATCAATTGCTTGCCCCTCCCACGCCCCAGCTGGGGACCTGGCCCGCAATCCAGGCGGGAACCTAACTGGCAACCTTTCCGTTTGCTGGCGGGTGCTCAATCCACTGAGCCACACCAGCTAGGGCCTCCGTGCTTTAATTGTCCTTGGTCTTGGTACTTCTCCTTAAGCCTCCCACCCCCCCTGTGTCCCTTATAGTGGCACTTAGTTGCTGGGCAACCTAGCACTTTACCACCAGAGAAGCTGGGAGTGTCCTCAGGTCTTGGATTTAACCCAGTACTTGACTTTCCTTGGTCCTGGATCACTGCATTGTGCCCAGCTACCAAACCGAGGAAGTGAGGCTGAGGCACTAAAAAAAGCTAAGGAAGCAGCAGAACCAGTCCATTACGTGGCTTCCTGTGAGACCGAGGAACTCCCAGTGCAGTTTCTTCTTCCACGTTACCGTGTCTTTTTCTCTGCACCTGTTTCCTTGCAAGTAACCGTTCACCAAAATCTCCATTCTCTTTCATTCACCCACAGTGTCTTAGGTGGCAAATGATTTTCCAGAGGGAAAACACCACCAGAGAGTTTGGAAGACTCAAGTACCCTGGCACTTTGTCCATCCACTCCGTGGAATATGATGAGCTCAAGGAGGAAGGGTCAGGTTGACTTTTTTTTTGAGCAAGATAGTCCTCCACCTCTGCACCCCCACCCCCCACTACCACCCCCATCTTTTCTCAAAGCCAGTGTGAAATACCTCTTCTCCTTGCAGGTGGCTCTAATTAACAATGAAAACCATATAATTTATACTTTATATATATGAAGTAATCCCAGTAATTTACTTTATTCTATCAGATTTTTAGTACTTATTATCCCACTAGTATTGCGTGTTTGTGTGCCTACAAAGTCCATGAGACAGCTTTGAATAGTTTGGGGGCTACTTGTAGGGCCAGATCCGTGGCTCTTTCCAGGCAGATGAGTTACTCTTTTTGCTTTTTTTCTTGCCTCCCTATATCAGTTTTTCAAAAGCTGTTAGCTAAAATCAAGCCGTAGATCTCCCATTTCACTGGGATGACATTAATGAATTTTCAAAAGATGGAAACAATATAGAAAATTTTAGTGTTTATATGTATATTGGAAAATTTTCTGTTAGACTTCTAAAAATTACAAATAATTTGCTAATTCCTGCTATGTGAATGGGAAACTCTCAAGTACTGTAGGGATACAAAGTGATATAAATGCAGTCATTTCTCTCAAGGAGTCTACGTCAGCATACTGAAGCACCTTGGTTGAATATGAGGGAAGAAAGATGAGTAAGACAGGTCCCCACTTTTAAGGAGCTTCCTGGTGAGTGGGAAAAGCGTACGTATAAACAATCAACTAGACTATAAGACAGAATGAAATAAGTGCTACAGGTCTAAATAACAAATGAAAGGAAAAGTAGGAGAACTAACTAGGGAGACTCATGGATTGAATTGTGAAGGAGTATCTGGTAGCAGAGATGAAAGTGCTCAGTGGAGGAGTTGAAGTAAATCCAAGGTCTCAGAGAACTGAGACCCCTGGAAGGTCAGATGTTCCTAAACACGAGTTCTTGGGGGGAAGAGGGTCTTCCTAGTGAAATTTTGCACCTGGACAACTTCCTGTGGAACCTGCTTCCCTATCCATAACTGCTCTGTCCACTGATGGCTCCCTCCTGCATCCCTAGGTTCTGGTCCTGAATTCTCTCCTTCCTTCATTTCATGTCTTCTCCTTACCTTAAGATTAGAAACCCACACTCTAGGAATTTTCTGTTGTTTTGGAGTCCAGTGAAGATGGATGGGCAGGGCCACAACTATTTTACCTCTCACCTCCATCATTCCTTACAGTGAAATCCCAGGGTGCTTCAGGCTCCCCCACTACCCTGACTCAGGCACCTTGATGCTGACCTGCCAGGTTCTGCCTAGCTCTGCAACTCTACACTTTAAAGGGCAGTGCTTACTCCCAGGTACTTATTCCTCAGACTACCAACAGGAGAGATATTTAACATCTTCCCTGTTGCTTCTCTAAGGAAGGCACTATGTGTCAAATTCCTTGCAATATGTTGTGGAGAAGAACTACTTGGGGAATGGTGAGTCCTTTGAATCCTTTCATAGGATTTTCCTTCCCCTGCCTCCAGAAAGCAATGACAAGCCTCTGTGCTATATGGATGGAAATCACTCTCTCTCTCTCCTTAAAGATTTTACTTATTTATTTTTAGAGAGATGGGAGGGAGGGAGAAAGAGGAAGAGAAGCATCAATCTGCACGAGAAACATTGATTGTCTGCCTCCCACACACCCCCAACCAGGAACCTGGCCCACAACCCAGGCATGTGCCCTGACCAGTAATCGAAATAGTGACCTTTCAGTTTGCAGGTTGACCCCCAACCCACTGAACCACACCAGTCAGGTCTGGAATCCACTCTCTTAAATCTAGTAAAAGGCATATCTATAAACCAGTTTCAGGGTGCTTATGGGATAATAGATATTTGGATGGCAGGTCCTCTAGATAAATCTATTGATAGTCCATTGCTAGATTGCCAGATCCCTGCTTATTACCACTCCCTATACACATGCTCTGTAGGCAGGAGGTGTTACTATGGAAATATATTATTATTATTATTTTAAAAGATTTTATTTATATATTTTTAAAGAGGGGAAAGGAGGGACAAAGAGAGGGAGAGAAACATGGATGTGAGAGAGAAACATTGATCAGCTGCCTCTCTTACGTGCCCCAAGTTGGAGACCAAACCCACAAACAGGCATGTACTGTGACCAGGAATTGAACCAGTGGCCTTTCATTTTGCTGAAAGATGACCACTTAACAGAACCACACTGATCAGGGCATAAACTAAATTATTTTTAAAAAACTGGCAGGCCCATCCTGGCCAGGTAGCTCAGTTGGTTAGAGCATCATCTGGATATGCCAAGATTGTGTATTTGATTCCCAGTCTGGGCACATATAAGACACAACCAATGAATGCATAAATAAGTGGAACAGCAAAACCAATGTTGGCCTCTTTCTCTCACCCTTCCTCTTTCTTTAAAAATCAATTAAAAAAAATTTCCTCATACTTTAAACAACAAAAACCAAGCAGGCCCGGGCTTGAGAACTATCTCCAGAACAAGCTCACAGCAGCAAGGAGGTTAATAGGGTGTTCCTATCTCCAAGGGGAAGAGTGGTAGGAGTGTGGGGGGGAATAATATTCCGTGTTCTATTCTCAACCTCTACCAGGTTCAGGTTCAGTGTTCCGGTTAGTATCAGCTGGATCCCTGCCTGGCACTTATATCTAGGAGGGTGGTCTGCACCAACACACACACACACACACACACACACACACACACACACACACACACACACACACACAGCCCAACACACACACACACACACACACACACACACACACACACACACACACACACACACACACACACAGCCTAACTTCGGCCAGGAAATAGCAACCAAGAAGCTGCTGCCCCTGCGCATGTTGGGAGAAGGGGCAATGCAGTCTACAGGCTTCCAAACTATAGAAATCTAAGAAGCATAGGGAAAAGCGGTGGCGGCATCTCAGGTAAGTTAAAATTTACTCTTGCGTTGAGCTCAGGGACCGGGGAGTACCCCAACTCCAGGAGGGGGCAGGGTGGTCCAGTATCCCGCCTATTTTCAACCCGGGAACCACCTCTCCTCCCGCTGTGTCCTCTTGCCCCCGTCCAGAGCTTTAGCTAGGGCCTTTCCAAGCCCCACCCCGCGCGGGTGCGGTCCCTTTAAGGTCGGGTGGGGGCGGGGCGCCGGCCGTGTTGTCAGTGTACCTTTCTGCGCACGCATCCCTTCCAGAGCGGGTCCCGCCGGCTAGGAGACCCTGGTTTCTGCAGACGAGTCCCCGCCGCAATCCGGCCGGACCCGCGCATTGGGTGGGAGGAGTCCGGCGCGGGCCGGCGACTAACCTGAGTCGTACTGTCGGACAGAGGAACGACCTGACCACGGAGAGGATCCCGGCGTCGCGACCCCCAGGACCACCTCTTACTGATCTCTGGCAACCACCAGACCCGGGTACCTAGTCCCGGACAGCTCCCGAGCTCGCTCGCCCAGCCCCGGGGGGGCCCTCCCCCGCCCCACGGCCCGCCTGGGCCATGCTCCCCCGGGGCAGCGGCTGAGCCCGAGCTAGGACTAGGACTGGAACTGGGAGCGGAGCCCGCGAGGAGCATGGATCCTGGCTGGGGGCAGCGGGACTTGGGCTGGGCGGCTCTGTTGGTCCTTTTCGCTGCCTCGCTGCTCACGGTGTTCGGCTGGCTGCTGCAGTATACTCGGGGCTTGTGTCTGGTGCGGGCCCAAGAGGCCCAGAGCCCGGGACCCGCCTTAGCTGTCGAGCCCGTGGGTTCCCTGCGGAAGCTGGGCGTGTGGCACTCGTTGCTAAGGCTGCGGGCCACTCGGCCCGGCGGCCCGGAGGAGCCAGGCGTCCAGGGCCTCCTGGCGTCACTTTTCGCCTTCAAGTCTTTCCGGGAGAACTGGCAGCGGGCTTGGGTGCGAGCGCTCAACGAGCAGGCCTGCAGGGACGGGGTGAGTTGGACAGGAACACCTAGGTGGTCCCCTCACTCAACCTTTCCTTCCAGGGGAGGGACTGCTCGCTCAGGGGGTCCAGATGGGAGTGGGGATCAACTGGGGCTCCATGGCTACTCTTCCTTTCTGAGACTAGAGAAAAGGGTGCAGGTGAGGCTGGAGGTTGTAGGAATCCTGCTGTGTCCCAAATTCTCTATTCTCGTGGTCCTGGTTCCCTGCACAACTTGCTGTTCTCAGAGCAACGCTAATCCCTGTGCCTGAGGGCACTTTTTCTTAGTTGGTGCAGATTAGGTTGGTGGGAGGCAAGGATAGAAGGGAGAAGGGAGACAGGTGCACCTTCACAAGGAATTTGTCTGGTTCTCCTGCCACCACACCCAGTTAACATTTTGTATCCCAAATCCCTGGTGTGATCAGGTGGAGTCCTAAGGAGCCTGAATTACCTCCTACCCTCACTGTTCAGTAATTCCCTGCTACAATCCAACACATAATTTTCCACTTTCCATGCTGATGTCTTGAGGGAAAGGTGTTTAGGTGGAGAGCAGACTGACAGTCTACCGTTCTTCCCAGTAGATGAGCCTTGAAGTGCCCTTTGAGAGTCACAAACTAGCCTAACTTACTTCCTCCCATTGCACCATGGGCATTTGGCTTCCCAAGAGGTGGAGCAGGAAGTGTGGTCATAAGACTGAAAGGTGGGGTGGGAGGTAGAGGTCTTCCTCTCACAGGGCCCCCACCCATCCTGGCCCAGTAATCTCTCCGTGCTATCCAGTCCATCAAGGCCCTTGTTAAGAGGGTTCTTGATTTCCAGCCACTGCTAGTGTGAGGGCTTTACTCTACTGGCTCCCCAGATGCCTGGAAACAAGTGACCACGCAAGAAACTGCTCTGTCTCCTGCCCAGCTGGCCAGCAGAAACCCACATGGCATCTTTCAGTCTACATCTTGAACTCATACCTCCACCATGCTCTCCCTGTACCTTGTTCCTGGGTCAGGAGTGACTCCCTACGGCAGCTGACTCAGCTGGACATTGGTCCCCCTTGCAGGGGGTGGGGAGACTGAGGTTCTAAGCATTCATCTCCCATCTCCCTGGGCCTGGCCTTTAAATGAGACAACTGCAAGAGCAGCGAAATTGGCTTCCCTTGGTTTGCTAGTCAAATGAGCCCTATGGATTTGTTTCCTCCCATCCCAAGACCCAAGAAAGAGCTGTCAGCTCAGTCCGTGCTCCCTGCTCAATTCTTTCCATCCTGCTCTCCAGATAGGGCCACAGTAGGTTGCATCCACTTCTGTGGAAGAATTTGGAAGCTCTTTCAAGACCTAAGCTCAGGAGCTTTTTGCTCCCTAATCCCACTCTACTGTCTGCCTTGAGGAATTAACCAGGCCCCTGGACTCTTGAGCCCTTTGAGTTTGCATTTCTTCCCAGTCCCTCTGGTAAAGTTCCCCAAGGCCATGCTGAGCTGTTTTCATCTCCAAGAATACAGGTAGAGTCATAATCTTGTGCATTCGCATCCTTTTCATCTAGAAGAAGGCTTAGCCTCCTTTCTTCAGCTCGTCTTCACTAAGTGGCCTTACTGCTTTTACCCTTAGCTCAGCCTAGTCTCTCTCTGCCCAGCTCTTATATATAGGTGGCAACTAACACCTTTATTATTTTTTTCTATGTGTCCCTTTCTTTGGGTGTAGGGCGGAAGATGAAGAAGAAGCTGGGGGAAGAAGAGGGAAGCTCCTGGTATTCCAGGAGGTCTTCTGCTCAAGGTGATCTAGCCTTTGAAATGGTCTAGCTTCCCAGTTCTCCCTAGCAGTTGCAGTCCCCTTGAGAGGTGGTATTCAAGGAGAACACTTGCTATTTTAAAGCTCTGAGCCAAGGAGGGGTCCGAAGCCAGCCTGCAGCTGAGGCCTCAGCATTGCCAGGGCCCAGCCAGCAACTGAGCAGGCCAGCACTGCAGGAGGTAACTCCAGAGACCTGATCCTATGTCCACATTACTCCCTCAGAGCTCCATCCAAATCGCCTTTGAGGAGGTGCCCCAACTCCCACCCAGAGCCAGCATTAGTCATGTGACCTGCGTAGACCAATCAGAGCACACCATGGTAAGGGTCTTATGGGCAATGCCTTCTTTAGGGTCTCAGAGGGGGCTGATCCCAAAAGTTCCCTTTAGTTGAAGGGTTCTTAACCTGAAGTTGATGAATAACTTAGGGATCTAAGGATTGGCTTCAGGAGGGCTGAGATCCCACTAACATTACATGCAAAATATATGTGTTTATATCGGCATTTTTCTGGAGAGAAGAGTCTTTGGCTTTTATATGATTCTTTTATGGACTTGTGGCCCCAAGGGAATGAATTCTCAAGGACAACTGAGCCCTGGCCAGGGAGCTCAGTTGGTAAGAGCATCGTCCTGATATGCCAAAGTGGTGGGTTCAATCCCTGGTTAGGGCACATACAATAATCAACCACTGAATGTATAAATAAGTAGCACAAGTCGCTGTTTCCCTCTCTCTCCCTTCCTCTCTCTCTAAAATCAATTAAAATTTTTTAATAAAAAAAGTAAAAAAGTAAAAGGACAACTGAAGTGGGGAGGGGTCTACTGACCCATTGCAGGGCAGGATTGAGCATCCTTCCTCCATGCCTAATTCTCTTTGTCTCCATGCCTTGCCTTTCTCAGGTGCTGCATTGCCAGCTCTCTGCTGAGGAGGTTATGTTCCCAATTTCTGTGACCCAACAGTCCCCAGCTGCTGTCTCCATGGAGACCTACCACATCATTCTGACACTGCCATCAACACAGGTGGAGGGGGTGTGGGAAACAGAGTTGGGCAGGGGGTGGTTTAGTTGCCTCAGCTCTTTCAGTTGGTTCCTTTCTGAGATGGAATTTGAGAAGGGAGGGTCCTGGGGAGTGGGAATAGTCAGAGGAGTAAAGCAAGTCAACTCAACCCCTTTGTCCCTGTTCCCAGTTGGAAGTCAATCTGGAGGAAATCCCTGGTGAGGGGCTGCTTATATCCTGGGCCTTCAATGATCGCCCAGATCTCAGCCTGAGAGTGCTTCCCAAGCTGCAGACCAGAGAGGTAAGGAAGCAAGCAAGGCTGGGAGTGCAGGGGAGAGGCAGAACAGGGAGGAGAGCTGGGGGCTTCACCTCCTGGTTCTCCCTTTCTCCTCATTGCAGAGAGGTGAAGAACAAGTAGAGCTCTCCACTATTGAGGAACTGGTTGAGGATGCCATAGTCAGTACCCAGCCAGCCATGATGGTCAACCTCAGGGCTTGCTCTGGTCCTGGAGGTCTGGTGAGTAGGCACTCAAATCAAATAATTTACAGGCTTACCGTCTTCAGGGTACTATGTCAGAATTCTGGTTTTATTTCTTGCTCTTAGTTGCCCAGTAAGAAGCCACCCATGGTATCCCATGCCCAGCCAGCCATCCCCAAACCTACCCGGTTATTCCTACGGCAGCTTCAAGCATCGCACCTGGGAAGTGAGCTGGAAGGTGAGAACTAGAACTGGGTAGAGGACTACCAAGCATATGGTTGTAGGCATTCCTTGGCAGAATGGCCAAGAAGGGCATCAAGAAGGGCATATTCCTTGCCCTTCTGCCAAGGGTATGGCCTCTCTCTTCCTCAGTGGCTTCCCATCTTTGATATGAGCATCTACTAATTTGTTTCCTTGTAGGCACTGGGGAACTATGCTGTGTAGCTGAGCTCGACAACCCCATGCAACAGAAGTGGACCAAACCCACAAGGGCTGGTCCTGAGGTGGAATGGACTGAGGACCTCACATTGTAAGGAGTGACTCCCTTGTCCCAACCTCCGTTCTCCAATGGGCGGACTGAGAATCACCCCACTTTCAGCATAGCCCTGGCATGAACCAGCTGTTTTCACTAAACCTTGGTGTACACTTTTTGTATGCCAGGCCCCAACCTACATCCTGGGTATACAGACATGAACAAGATACACTCCCTACTCTGATTTGATTTCAGTCTTGAGACGGAGACAGATGGTGTAAGAGGATGGTATAAGTGCTCCAGCTGAAGTTTACAAAAAGTGCATGGAAGTACTTTCATGGGGGAGATTAATTCCTGTAGGGGAATAAAGATCAGAGTAGGCTTCGTGGAGGAAATGCTTTTTCAACCACACCTTAACCCTGGCTAGGTAGCTTAGTTGGTTAGAGCGTTGTCCTGATATGCCAAGGTTGCAGGTTTGATCCCCGGTCAGGGCACATACAAAAATCAACGATAAATAAGTAGAATAACAAATCGATCTCTCTCCCTTCCCCCTTTCCTCTCTCTCCCTCTCTCTCTCTCTTTCTCTCAAACCAACTTTAAAAATCCATAAAAATCTCATCTTCGAGTAAGAGAAAGATTTCTACAGACTGTGAGGGACAAGTGTTCTTGGCAGAGGAAAGAGCTTAAGCAAAGGAAAGATGGTGGTTTGACATAGAGATATGGAAGGCAGGGTGGGGCAGGACCAGGAAGGATTTGAATGCCCAGCTAAGGAGCATGCCCTCCACTCAAGCCCTGTCCCATTCTCTTGGGAAGAGAAAGTATTTGGAGGGCAGGATTTAATCTTTTTGGAGCACTTGTACCACCTTATTTATGTATATCTCTCTCTGCCTCTCGTGATCACTCCAGGGTGGATTCCCTTTTCTAACCTTCCCCCTCCCTGCCCCTCCTTCTTTTGGCCACAGGGATCTGGGCCCCCAGAGCCGGGAGCTGGCCCTCAAGGTGCTGAGGAGCAGCAGCTGTGGAGGCAGTGAGTATGAGGCAGGACGGAGCACCTCTTGGGCACTGAGTAGAGTCTGGTCATGGGCCCAGCTCACAGTGCTACCCCTTTTCCCAGCTGAACTCCTAGGCCAGGCCACACTGCCTGTGGGCTCCCCTTCCAGACCACTGTCCCGAAGACAGGTGTGCCCACTCACCCCTGGGCCAGGGAAAGCCCTAGGACCAGCAGCCACTGTGGCAGTGGAGGTAAGAAGCTGATTCCTGGGGGAAGGTGGAAGGAGAGAGGGGAGGGCAGACTTTGAGGCCTGGCCTCTTTGCTTTTCCACCCCTTGACAGCTTCAGTATGAGGAGGGCTCACCCCAGAACCTGGGCACTCCCACCCCTTCCACGCCGCGCCCCAGCATCACACCTACCAAGAAGATTGAGCTAGACCGGACCATCATGCCTGATGGCACTATTGTCACCACAGTCACCACTGTCCAGTCCCGGCCTCGTGTAGATGGCAAACTAGGTAACAAGAGGGAGCCTGAGATCCCCGCTCTAGGCAGGGACCCTGAACTTCATTCAGATCTATGGCAGAACAGGGAAAGAGCAAAGGAACGCTCTACTTTCAGCTATCCCTGGTTTTTGGCCACATCTCCCTCATTATCTTTGTCTCTCAAACTTTCTGTTAAAACCCCCCATTTGCCCAGCTATTCCCCTTTCACTTCAATCCTGGATCCACCGACCCCTCACATGTGACTCTCCCACTTCTACCTCCTCGAGTTCCCTCTGTCTTTTCTCAGGTCTGTTCCGCTCTCTTTCTCCAGCCTTGACTGCCTAATTGTCCCTCATTCTACCATCAACCTTCCAGTACCCTGTGGGATCCTTCAACACACCCAGTAGCCTCCGTGGCATTTCTTCTACTGCAAGGGTCCCTCCATGACATTTCTCCTATCTGTGGGGTGGTCCCTTGGAGTTACCCCTGCCATCGCTGCACCTCTCAATATTTTTATGGCATCTCCCCAAACCCTCAGGGGGTCCCACAGCACTTTCACACACTCCCATTGGTTCCTGTGGTCTTTTTGTCTCCATGGCATCGTCTTAATCACTCCTGTGATTAATCATCTCTTAGTCACCCCTGCCTTCTGAGTCACCAAAGTCTACATCTCAAAAAAGACGGGGGTGGGGGCCACTCTAAAGCACCTCCCAGCTCACTGACCTTCTCCTACCCACCAGACTCCCCCTCCCGTTCCCCGTCCAAGGTGGAGGTGACTGAGAAGACAACAACTGTGCTGAGTGAGAGCAGTGGCTCCAGCAGTACCTCCCACAGCATCAGCCGTGAGTGGGGAACTGGGAAGTGTAAATGTTGGCTGGTACTGGGGCCCCAGAGTAGAAAAACCACTTTGGGTGGGCCACAGAAGTTCCAGTCCAAGAAGGAGCTAGGGAGGAGTAGGTTGTCCACCCTCTGTATCCCCAGCAGGGGAGAGCCATCTTTCCAACGGCTTGGACCCTGTAGCAGAGACAGCGATTCGCCAGCTGACTGAACCCAGTGGGCGAGCAGCCAAGAAGACACCCACTAAGCGTAGCACTCTCATTATCTCTGGTGTTTCCAAGGTAACAGGCCTCTGGGGAGAGGAGCTGGGATAGGGAGAAAGCCCTAATGGGTCACTCTGATCCATTGAAACTTGTCACTCTTGCCAGGTGCCTATTGCTCAGGACGAGTTGGCACTGTCCCTGGGCTATGCGGCATCTCTGGAAGCCTCCATGCAGGATTATGCAGGGAACAGCAGAGGTCTCTCTTCGCCTCCCTCAGATGACCCACCAGCCATGTTTCCAGGACCCCTAGATGCTCTCTCCAGTCCCACAAGTGTCCAGGAAGCAGATGAGACAACACGTTCGGACATTTCTGAGAGGCCGTCTGTGGATGATGTTGAGTCAGAAACAGGATCTACTGGTGCCCTAGAGACCCGCAGTCTCAAGGATCACAAAGGTAGGGAGATATTGGCAGGCCCCCATTCTTTTATTTTTAATTTTTATTGATTTTAGAATGAGAGAGGAAGGGGGAGAGGGGGAACTATTAATTTTGTTGTTCCACTTATTTATGCATTCATTTGTTAATTCTTATATGTGCCCTGACTGGGGATTGAACCTGCCCATCTTGGCACATCAGGATGATGCTCTAACCAATTGAGCCACCTGGCCAGGGCCTTCCCCCACCTTCTCTTATACCCCGTATCATGACCTGGGTCCTGCTGGACCCTTAGGAATATGAAAGCCTCAAGCCAATTTGCCTTGTCCTCCCTCTCCTTAGGATTGCCAGAGATCCTAGCCTGTTTCAGCCAAGCTAAATTAGAGAGAGGGAACTTGATGCTTTGGGTCCTGTAGCGTCATGTACCACCATTTTCCCCCTCTGTGTTTAAGTGTTCATATCCCTTCCCTTGTTCTTTTGTTTCTTCTTTTCTTTTCTTTCATTATGTACTTTTTCCCCCTGTGTGTATAAGAAATCCTACCCTGGGCTAACCCTAGGAGTGTCTCTCTAGCAGTGACACAGTTTGTGGATAGCGGTGGTACTTCTAACTTCTAAAGATGAAGTGGTTGCCCCCAAATATTTCCATCCCTCTGTCAATGAGTCTATCAACCATAAATGTGTTAAACTATTTATGATTTAAGCCTGTATCACTTCTTGTGATAGTGAAATTCCTGAGTCTAAAGCATGCTGTGTAAGCACTTTCCTCATTATATTGGTCTGGATTTACCTCTTCGAAGTTTTCCAGATGTACCTCCTCCTGCTTACATCCTGGAATTTTGTCAATAAGTCCATTTCAACCAGCCTTGTTTCTTCACATCTGTCTCTAAGGATGATTTTTTGAGAAACACCGCCCTGCTTAGCCTTTGTCTTTCCATTGAAAAAAGGCCCAGTTTTCAGTTTGTCTTCATAGAGCCCCCGGTCCCATGATATTCCTCCTCAGGTCCAGCAGCCAGGAGTGCACACAGAATCCCATGAGCACCACCATTTTTTCCTCAGGAAGGACAAAGGTCATGTTTTGTCTCTACTTTCTTTCTTAAGGAAGCCTGGCTTCTAGGCCAAGGACCTGGTTCTGTTCTGCGTCGTTGATCCCACCATGCTTGGTCTTTTCTCTGCTCCCTACTTCACCACACCTCCTTCGTGCCTCTCTCTCTGCCTCAACCTCCCCTCTTCCCCCACAGTGAGTTTCCTGCGCAGTGGTACCAAGCTCATCTTCCGACGGAGACATCGACAGAAAGAAGCTGGTCTGAGCCAATCACACGATGACCTCTCCAACACGTCAACCACACCCAGTGTCCGAAAGAAGGCTGGCAGCTTTTCTCGCCGCCTTATTAAGCGCTTTTCCTTTAAATCCAAACCCAAGGCCAATGGCAACCCCAGCCCCCAGCTATGAGGGTACTCCTCATGTCCTGAGCTACGGGAGGGCAGGAGTCCTCTCAACCCATTCCCCATATCCCGTTCCATTCCCCTTCCTGCATTCCCAACATCCTGGGCCAGGGAAGCCCTCTGGGTTCCAGGAAGCCCTGTCTACCCTGGACTCTGGGGCCAATTGGAAAGGTACTTGCAGTGGGAAGCATGTGAGAGATGAGCACCTCTTGCTGAGGACATACAGTGGGTGGCTAGGTGGCTAGGAGTCAGAGGAGGACTCTGTCCTGGCATGGGTGGGCATTCCTCAGAACAGGTTGCCTCCTGTTGACACTGTCCCCTCAGAGAGTCCCAGGGTGCTCAGGACCTCAGCTGATCCTTCCTCCCTTATTTATTCTCTTTTCTATTTATATGTGTAGTCCAGGACTCTCAGCAAACAGATGATAGAGGGCATCTCTCCCAGGTGACCCTTTTTTCCTGTCTCAGAAGGATAGGCAATTCCCTTTGGGATGGGGCTCCCACACCTTCCTTATGTCCCTACTCTGACCAGCACCAGTGTCTCCCTTTTAGGACATTGGCAGCTCATACAAAGTTGGGCCAGTGCCCAGGATGGGGGGCAGGTACTCCCCACCTCTCTGCCTCCTCTTCTGCCCCTCATCCCTTCTTTCCCTTTATTATCGTTTTTGTACTTGATGCCTTCTCCATGAGTAGTGGCTTTTTTGGGAGGAGGGATTTGGAGGCCTAGTGGGAATTCTTTCCTGGGCAGATGGCTTTAGGGGCTTTATTTGAAGACTGTGTGATGATGGAGCATGAGCAGGTTTGCACCTTGGTGTGTTGGGAGATGATGATGTCCATTGCTGTCTGATGGCTTGGAATTTAATTTATTAAAGTCAGTTTGGAGTTTATAAACTGGACAACTGGTTATCCTTTGAAAGGCAATGGGACAGTGAAGCTGTGGTGTTCACGGAGGGGGAGGATCAGAAACAGGGACCACATAGTGATGTGAGGTAGGTGATACAATACTGGGTCTGCTAAGAAGTTCCTTCAGGGAGGAAGAGACACGTGGAAAGTAGATGCTTTCAAAGACAAAAGAGTTTCAAGGATGAAGCTGTTGCAAAAAGTCAATCAGAAAGAAGTAAATTGGCTAGTACAGGAATCTTCATCTTCATTTCCCTTTTTTGAACAAGTTGTTCCAGGACATAACAGAGTCTAGAGCATGGACTCTTGATCTCAACTGCCTGGATTTGACTCCAGCTCCGCTAATTAACTTTGTGACCTTGGGCAAGTTATGTAACCTCAGAGTGCCTCAGTTTTCTCATCTATAAGATGGGGAATGTGAGAATAGTAGCTATCATTTGGTTGTAGATGAGAAGTAACCATTACCTCAGAAGAGACAGATTGGGAGGGAGAAGTCTTTTTAAAATTTTTCAGTTACAGTTGACATTTAATATTATTTTAGTTTCAAGTATACAGCACAGTGGTTATACATTTATATAATTTATGAAGTAGTCCCCCAGATAATTCTAGTACCCACCTGGCACCTTACATAGTTATTACAATATTATTGACTCTCTTCCCTATGCAGTACTTTACATCCCCTTGACTATTTTGAAAGTACCAATCTGTACGCCTTAATTTCCTTCACCTTTTTCATCTAACCTCCACAACCCCCTGCACCCAAATCTGGCAGCCATCAGTTTATTCTCTATGAATCTGTTTCTGTTTTGTTTGCTTATTTTGTTCTTTAGATTTCACATATAAGTGAAATCATATGGTATTTGTCTTTGTCTGGCTTATTTCACTTAGCAAAATACCCAGTAGGTCCATCAATGCTGTTGCAAATGGTAAGATTTCATCCTTTTTTATGGCCAAGTAGCATTCCATTGTATATATGTACCACATCTTCTTTATCCAATCATCTATCGATGGAAATTTAGGTTACTTCCGTATCTTGGCTATTGTAAATAATGCTGCAATGAGCATAGACTGCATGTATCTTTTTGAATTAGTGTTTTGGATTTCTTCAGATAAATACTCAGAAGTGGAATTGCTGACTCATAAGGTAGTTTTTTAATTTTTTGAGGGGTCTCAATACTGTTTTCCATAGTGGTTGTACCAGTTCGCAGTCAGGAGGGGAAGTCTTATGAAGGTTTCATCATAATAAAAATTCATTTCTAAATGTGGACCAGTTTCAAAGAGTAATGGATACTAGCAAACTCTGTGTCCCTGGTTCCTGTTCTGGGGACCTTACACAGGACTCAGAACAGGCAAGCTGCTGCAAGATATCAGAGCACTAGACCAGGGACAGAAAACCTGAGTGTGCCACAGACATACCACGTGACCTTAAGCAGACGACTTCTTTCTGGTCCTCAACTTCCTCAGCTTTAAAATGAAGCGTGGCCTAGATAATCATTCAGGCCACTCCGAGGCTTATCTGCACCACGGGGTGCAGGGCACATGCTTTTGGGAGGCAGCATGGAACTGTTAATATTCCCCATAATCCTGTCTATGCTAGTCACAGAACATGGGATATTTAGAAAGTGTGGCAGAGTGTGGATATTTGGTTAACTTGTATATAGTGATATATAGTCATGAAAACTCAGATTTATCAAGCCATTTCCCCTGATGTAAGAAATGCAATTCCCAGTGGTTCACAGAGGAGCAGTTTGTTTACCCATATTAACAAGATAGCCAAACACATTGAACTTTAACTTTTTCAAAAATATTTTATTTATTTCTTTTTAGAGAGGGGAAAGAAGGAAGAGAGGGAGAGAAACATCAATGTGTGGTTGCCTCTTGCATGCCCCCAGCCAGGGGTCTGGCCTATGACCCAGGCATGTGCCCTGACTGGGAATCAAACCGACGACCCTTTGGTTCACAGACCAGTGCTCAACCCACTGAGCCACACCAGCCAGGGCTGAACTTTAAATTTCACAAGAAACTTGTTGATAGGAGAGCAGGTGTTCAGATTTCCACTGGACCTGTAGATTGAGTGGGTGGTAACTGGAGATTGTGCTCAGCTTCCAGTGTTGAGCTACTCAGAGCTCAATGGAACCCATATTTTGTAGTGAAGAAGAGACTGATCATAAATATAGGAATTTTAAAAATGAATGCAAAAAATACAGAAAACATAATTTTATCAACTTTATCCATTTGTACACTTTCAGAACAGATCCACAGCTTTTGATGAGTATGAATTATGCTTTAAGTTTATGTGGCAGCTTTTAAAGAACAAATCTCAGAATGTGTCTGAATTACCTAGCCAAAATTGAGGCTTATTTTCAAAAGAAGCAGATTGAGATGAATTAGACTGTGCTAGATAGCAATACATTGCCTCAAATTTTGGAGACACGTGGATCCCAGAACTATCTTGAAATTTTTGCTCTGTAAAAATTGAGTCTACGTGGCTGTGGAATTTTTCGTCACAAAATTGCTAAATTAAAGCTATTAGCCTTCTTCAGTGGTATCAATCTGAACTAAAATGAGATTGGTATCTCATGAAGTATTGCTATAACCATGCTTTTGAATGAATAAAGTTGATGAAATAAATATATTTTGCTATTGTATTTTAAAAGAGAGACAAAGCTATAATTCACTTGTTAATAAACTTCATGTACAAATTCCTGATTTTACTATAACTTTGCTATTTTTGACTTTGCCATATTTTTAAATTTTAATTCATTTTGTTTTGAGAGACAGAGAAAGAGAAAGGGAAACATCAGTTTGTTGTTCCACTTATTTATGCATGCATTCATTGGTTGATTCTTGTAATGGCCAGTAATTAAACCCGCAATCTTGGTCTTTGACTTTGCTATTTTTAATGGCATCTTTATTTTATTTTTAAATTAAAAAAAAGTTTATTAATTTTAGAGAGAGAGGAAGGAGAGAAACTTCAATTGATTGCCTGCAATACACAACCCAACTGGGGGTTGAATCTGCAATTGAGGTATGTACCCTCACCAGGAATTGAACCCCAATCTTTTGGTGTATGGGACAGCACTCCAACCAACTGAGCCACACTAACAAGGCCCTCTTTTATTTATTTTGAACATTTAATGTGTTTTCTGATTATATAAATTATATAGGTTTATTTTTAGGTTAGAAAAATATAGCACAATAAAATAACTATTAATCCCAATGAACTTTACTAAGGTACAGAATTTAACAAACATATCTTGAACCCTTACTGAGTTGCAGCTACTAGACTAAGTGATGAATTATAAAGGTGAAGAACACATATGATCCCTGCCCTCACTGAACTGAGTCTGGTGCAGGCTGCAGACAAGTAAACAGGCAAATACAGTACCTGATAGTGTTACTGAACAACAACAACAAAAAAACAGGTTTGCCTGCCTGTCACCACAAAAGCCAAACTCGTTAAGTCAGGTGCTGGTGCAAAAGGAAAGAGATTTACTCAGGTGCCACACAACCTGGAAGAATGGTGGACTCCCGTTTCAAAGACCATCTCAACCTTCCTGCTCAGGCTTGCAGTTCTTATAGGGATAGGGAGGGGAGGGCTTTTTTTCTAATCCAATTATCTTTCTAGCTTTCCATACACTTGGGCCCTGTGCATCTTTCTAGTTTCTAACATCCTTGGGCCCTACCCATTTATCTTTTTAACTTTTTACACAAACTTGGGCCCTGTCATTCATATTTCTAGCTTTCAGTGCGCTCAGTGTAAGAACTTCCTTCTGCCACCACCTTGGCCAATGGATGGAGACTCCCCTGGTGCTCCAACTGACTGTTTTACAGTAACAGTTCCCCCCTTCAAAACTCTGGACCCTTGTAATCTTTCAAGGGTAAATGGACAAAGGTCTCATTTTTCTGTAGTTACTTCCTGCTGGTAAAGGACATAGTCTTGTCTATCTCTGGGTCCAGAGATTCTCACTAACAAAGGAAGTTGAGGTCAGGAACAAAAGGAAGCCTTTATGTGAGGGAGAAGGATTGCTGTCTTCGGAAGGTGGCATGTGAGGTGTCTTGAGGGTGGCACTGCTGAACAAGCAAAGCTGGCGGACTGCTTCATGTTTCAAGAGATGGTATTGCAGATGAGCTTCCAAAGTGAGACACTGTGCAGAAAAATAAGTGTTTAGTGAGGGATATGTCTAGCAGTGCAGGGGGAATTTTGGTGAAATCAGAAACTGCAGGGACTAAAGGATCCCTGTGATCTAACCCTGATGGTGGCACACCCAATAGCAGAATAAATTTGCTGAGGAAGCTGCTGTCTGGGAAATGCAAAAATAAAATAAAAAGAAACATTGTCACTTAGCTTTGGGAGGCACAGTCCCTTTCCGAAAGAGGAACTTTAAATCTCTTTCAGGAGTGCAGGTCCAGCTTTCCTTCCAGTATCAATAGCAGCAGCAAGATCCAAGTCCTCCTCAGGTGGCACCCACTTTATCCATGTATGGTAGATCCAGGGCTTGATTCCTGTGAGCTTTAGGGAAGAGTGTGTTGTCAGCAGTCATAGGGACTTGTCAATTGCTCAGCTAACTGCTGTTCTGGACCTTGAGTCTTCCAGGTCTTTAGTAAGACTCAGTGTCCTAGTTGGAATGGATATAAGAGCTGGTCAGACAGGTAGATGGACCTGCAATGACCAAACTTGTGCAAAATTGTGTCTGCCAGAGAGGTTGTACATATGGTTCGATTTTTGATTCATGTACTGAATCTAAAGGGGGAGTATTCCTAAAACAGAAATTTGGGAGGGTCTCCCATAGGCTATTTCAAAAGGGTTTAACTTAAGCCCATTTTGGGGCACTATCCTAACCTGGAGCAAGGCAATAGGGAGTGCCTGACCCCATTTCAAATGTGTTTCCGGGCATGCTTTCACCAGGGTTGTCTTTATTTTCTCAGGGTGGTTCATTTTCTCAGTCTTCCAGTAGATTGATGTCTCCAAGATGCATGTAGTTTCCATTGAATGTATAGTGCCTGTCCTATCTTCTGGGATATTTCTGAAGGGAATGTTTGTCCATTGTCACTTTGAATGCTATAAGGGAATCCAAACCTACAGATTATTTCTTTCCCTAAAATTATATTTTATTGATTATGCTGTTACAGTTGTCCCAATTTATCCCCCTTTGCTCCCCTCAACCCAGCACCCTTGACTCCCTCAGGCAATCCCCTCACCATTGTTCATGTCTATGGGTCATGCATATAAGTTTTTTGGCTACTCCATTTCCTATACTGTACTTTACATCTCCATGGTTATTCTGTAACTACTTATTTGTACTTCTTAATCCCTTCACCTCTTCTCATATTCCCCCAAACCCTCACCCATCAGGCAGCCATCAAATAGCTCTCCATATCAATGATTCTGTCTCTGTTCTTCTTGTTCTCTTAGATTGATTTTTAGATTCAATTGTTGATAGATAGATGTATTTTTTTTTTTTTTGCCATTTTATGTTCATAGTTCTGGTCTTCTTTTTCTTAAATAAGCCCCTGTAACATTTCATATAATAATGATTTGGTGATGGTGAACTTCAGGTTTTGGTTTTTTGTTTTTTGGGGGGTTTTTTGTCTGGGAAGCTCTTTATCTGCCCTTCAATTCTAAATGATAGCTTTGGTGGATAGAACAATCTTGGCTGTAGTTCCATGCTTTTCATGACCTTGAGTATTTCTTGCCATTCTTTCTAGCCTTCAAAGTTTCTTTTGAGAAATCAGCTGACCATCTTATGGGAACTCCCCTGTACATAACTAACTTCTTTTCTCATGCTGCTTTTAAGATTCTCTCTTTCTTTAACCTTTGCCATTTTAATTATGATGTGTCTTTGAGTGGGCCTGTTTGCATCCATCTTGTCTGGGACTCTCTGTGCTTCCTGGACTTGCATGTCTATATCCTTCACCAAATTAGGGAAGTTTTCTTTCGTTATTTTTTCAAATAGATTTCCAACATCTTGCCCTTTTCTTCTCTTTCTGGCACCCCTATTATGCGAATGTTGGAATGCTTGAGGTTGTCCCAGAGGCTGCTTACACTATCCTCATTTTTTTAAATACTTTTTTCTTCTTTTTTTTTTTTTTTAAAGATTTTATTTATTTATTTTTAGAGAGAGGAGAAGGG